AAAAAGTATCGCTCTTGGAAAAAGTAGTGACAACACTTAAAACTCATCATGTATAATATCCTAATTTATAATTAACATTTGCTCTTGTCTGACGCTTGGTATACAAGTTATTGTACCAAAAAACAGTTTTTTGCAACAAATTAACTTTATTTTGTAGTCATGTACTAATACAACTGTTGATTGCAGAGTCAAACTTGTAATCTTATCAAATTGACAATGCTTGCAACAACTGTTAACAAATAATAATAAAATTTTTTTAACATCATTTTAGTTTTTAGTTGCATTTAGTTTTGCAATAATCGCAAAAAAACAAAAAACAAAATAGAAAAATTTTAACTTAAAATTAATAATAAAACAAACATTAAATAATTTAAATTAATTGTTTAACGACCTTTTTTAAATATATTTTTAAAATATGGACAAATCAAATCAAAAACTTACAGAACAAACAAAAACTCAGTTAAATACTATAATTGTTGGCGAAAAAGGCACATTAAATGTTAAAGGTAAGATTATTAAAAATTATGAAGGTCCCATTGTTGATGAAAAGACAGACGTAAACAAAGATCGAATTGATGGACTTGTAACAGTGGGAAAAAATGTAAATTATAAAATAAAAATAATTGAAAATACTTCAACAAAAGAAATTAAATTTAACGTTAATGGAAAATATTTAAAAATAAATCGAGAAGTTTGTAAAAAAGTGCCGGAATTTGAAAAAATATTTGAACGAGAAGATAATTTAGTTAATGATGTGGAAGTAAATGTATTTCAAGTTATGCTCAATTTTATTGAAAACGATAAAATTGATCAAAATTTGCTAAAAGAAGATAATTTTGCCATTAATTTATTAAAAGCAACTTCAAAAGTAAGTTTTAAAATGTTTGCTACGCAAATTTTAAAAAAATATTTTAGTACTCTATTTTTCAACTTCACAAGTTAACCGAAGATTATCTATGTGAACAAATTGACGACAACAATGTTAAACAATTTGAACAATTGGCCCAAAATAATAACGCCAAAAAATTAAATGAAAAAGTTAAAGAGTACAAAGGTAATTCATAAATTTTTGTTTTATTTTTTAACGAAATTTTCCGTTTTTAGAACTTTTTAATATGTCATAAAAGCAACAAGTTACTACAAGCAAAACTCAATTTACGTTTTTATTTGCAAGTACGTTTACTACGTCTATTCATTAAAATATGGCATATTTGATAATATTATTTTTAAATTTTTAATTTTTTTAAAGTTTTTTTTATTAAAAGCGTAAAAAAAGTCTGTTTGCGCTCGCAAGTACTTTGCCGCCAAAATTAATTTAAATTAAGTTTTTTCACTATAAATCAGTTTTAAATACCCGTGTTTTTATGTTTTTGTCATTTTAAAATATTTTTTATATATTTAAAAAAAGTTTAAAATGTACAACAATAAAATTTTTGTTTATAATATAAAACAAGCAAAACTTAAAAAATTTGTCAAAACATCATAAACTCTGTTTTTGTGGCATACAAATTATGTTTTACATTTAACCCTGTTTTAACAATTAATAAAAAAATAAAACTTTTAAAAATTTGTTATATTTTTAAAAAATTTTTTTAAAAAAGTTAAAACTTAGAAAATATAAAATTGAAAAAAACACTGTTTCAAGCGCTGTTTTTGAAAAAATTTCATATTTTTTAAGTTTTACCAACTTTAAATTTTTAATTTACAAAGTTTTGCTGATTAGCTGCAATTGCAATTGTGTGGCCAATCAGACTGACTGATTTTAATCTACTTTACAGCTGTTCATCTTAGTTTCACTTGATTTGAAAAGAAAACCCGCCTATTTAGGCTTTGTTCGGTCCATTTGCAAGACCCTCGTGGGCGGACGTTTCTGGAAAATCAAATAAAGCCAAGCTTCAACCTTTTTCACCGTGCACTGCTAAACTTTTTTGATAACATGACTGGCGGCTCACCCTGGCTTCACTTGGGACACAGCCAACGCCCACAGTCTCAAGCCTTGCTTGATTGCGCAAAGTTTTTGGCGACGGGCGTTGCTTTTTGCCCAAATCACATCAAATTTTGCCGCCCTTGGCTGTGCTTTGCTCCTCCGCATAACAATACTTTTCCGGCTGACTAGAGTTACAGCGGTAACAGCAACAACAACTCGCAACCAACAAGTTTTTTATGATTTGTGTTATTTACAAAAAAAAATTTAATCATATTAATCAAATAAAGCAATCCTCTTTTTTAGCCAGTAGAGAATTAGTGGTTTGTATTAGTTAATGCAGTTTTTGTGCTGCATTGTTATCTAAAAACTTAAGTTGCAATAGTTTTACAATTTTTTGCAGCCTATTTTAATTAAACAAACTTACAATCATTTATCAATACAAATTATTTTTGCAACAATTAATATGTTTTACAAAAAATTTAACTACGAATGTTATTTTTAATGCAATTAAAATATATATTTTTGAAAAATTACTATTATTACTATTTTTTAACTACAAAAGTAAGTTTTTTAATCATTACAACGAAAATAACTTGTTTTATATTGTTTTAAATTATCAAAATTAATTTGTAACAAAAAATATATTTTGTAAATTATAAAATGGAGTTATCTAAAATAGAAACTTTTTATAATATAAAAAGTTTTTACAAAATGGAAAATTTCTATATTCTTGAAAACAATTGGTGTTTAATATTGCCGTATTATTTTGGAGGTTTAGAAAAAGATGAAAATAGTGTAAATAACTTTAAAAATATTATAAAATTAGCAAACTTTAATGTAGTTGAGCTTCCAAAAGAAAATAAAACTTTGCGTGAAACAAGTTCATTTATTAAAAATGGTAATTGAAAATTATTATTTGTTTGTATTTAAAAAATAATTTTATTTTTTTAAGAACTTTTTTTTTTTGACAATGAAAAAAATAAACCGATAAGTTGTTTAATTGTTTACATTTCAAGCCACGGGAACAAAAAATGTAATCAAATTAAAAAATGAGTAATTTTAAAACTGAAAAATTAATGTTTTATTTTTATTTTTTTGCAGCATTTGAATGCAAAGATGCAAGTTTCAAAACAGAAGAACTGTTTTCACTAATTAATAACTGCGAAGCACTTAAAGGAAAACCAAAAATTATTATTTTAGATGTAAATAAAATTTGCATTGTTTTAATGTTCATTAATGTTTTTTTGCAATGTTTTTTAACACAGACTTGCCAAGGTAAAGAAGTAAATTTATTTAATCAAGCTACTGAAAAGTCAATTGTTAAAAATGATTTAACTAAACCTGATTATTCGGATTTTCTTATTATTTATTCGAGTTGGAAAGGTAAAACACAAACTTTTTAATTATTTTTACAAACTTTTGCAAATTATTTTTCAGGATATGTTTCATATTCTGATCCAAAACAAGGAAGTCGTTTAACAAATGTTTTAAGTAAATGTTTGGAAGAATTTATTAACGATAAATCTTCTTATTATTATGATTTTTTGCAAATGTTAACTATTGCTAACAAAGAAGTTTCCAATATGAAAAATGTTCATATGCAAATGCCTTGTTTTAAATCTTCATTGCGCAAATTTCTTAAATTTCAACATGGTGAAGGAAAAATAGTAGAAAGTCATAATTATGATACTGTTGACCAACCAACTAGATTTAAAAAACTTAAATATGTCAAAAAATATGTATTAAAGAAAACAGATACTCTCTTTAAATTGTTTAATTTTTCATCAAAATCGTCACAAGAACTAAAAAAATATTTTGAAACTCAAAATTTTATTACTAGTAATATAAAAGAACATAAAATAACAAATTTATCACAAATAAATTTTCTTTTAAATGGCAAGTTTAAATTAACTACAACAATTTTGTATAGACAAGCTGTTTATGTTAAAAATTTTAATTTGTTTTTTAGAAACTACCAATCAACTTAAAAAGATAAACTACGATTGTTTTGTTATTTGCATTATTGCAAACGAAAAAAACAAAGGTATTGGTCATTTTATTTAGATTTTTGGAAAGTTTTATTTTCATTTTGAAAGCTCTTTTCTAAAACATTTGTAATGTTTAGGTTTATTGCTAAGTTTAAGTTCAAGTTTAGGTAGTACTATCCGTTCAGAGTTCTTACCTGTCCCTACTTTTGCAAACATTTGTAATACATTTTTAAAACAAGCTAGAACCGGGTTTTCTGTAAACGGGCAGTAAAACTCCCTTTTCAAAATTCTAGGTTTAAGAAAAAATGCAGGGGATCCCTTTGTTTGTTCACTTACATATTCAAAAGCAATTACTGCGTTAACGCGATTGCTGTAAATTGTAACACTGCCTGTCTATTTTCGCATTGTAACACTGCCTTAAAAGTCCCCATATGCAAAACCATAATAAAAAACTATTTTTTTTAATTTTTAGAAATTGTTTTTCAAAATGACCTTAATGGAGTAACGTTAAGCTACAAAAATATAATAAAATTTTTAGAAAACGAAGAATTAAAATTGAACAATAAACCAAAAATTGTTTTAATTTTTGTAAGTAATTGGAATTTGAAAAAACAGTTTAATATTTTTTATGTTTTCAAAGGCTAATAAAACATCTCAAAATGACCATTGGAAACCAAACATAAAATCTTTATGTTATTTAGAAAACATGCTAGTAGCCTACATTAATGGTAGTTATAAAAGTTTTTTATTTTCAATTTAACAATTCTATTTTTTAAGTTTCAGTAACAGATTTTATTTCAAATTTAAAGTTTGAAGATACTCTTATAGAATTGATTGAAAACAAATTTAATTTATCTGAAAATAGCAAAAGTTTTGAAAAAAATGTATTTTTATATGAAAGTAGTTTTAAACAATCTTTTTTTTCTGATAATGACTAATGAAAAATTATTTAAACAATTGTTATTAAACTTTCAATTTTTTGTCAATTTTTAGTTAACACAACATTTTACAAATAAAAACATATAACTGATTTTTGTATTTTATATTTTTAAATTTTTAAATTAAAAAACAAAATGTATCAATTTTCACTCCAATAGCGGATGATCAATAAAGTGCAGTTCACTGCCTGGTTTGTGCTGCTC